CTCTCTCTCTCTCTCTCTCTCTCTCTCTCTCTCTCTCTCTCTCTCAGAATGAAACTCATCCCTTCCTCATGAAATTACTGTGTTTATGCAGTATTCATCAGCGGAAGAAGCCTTGGAGACACGGAATGCTGTGTATAACCTACAGTGGCCTCCCAACGGTGGGCGTCTTTTAGTGGCCGAGTTTGTTGATCCCCAGGAAGTGCAAACACGGGTTCAGATTCCTCAGACTCCTGCTACACCCATCAGCAGCGGTCCTGCTGTTCCTGTTGCCCCATCCACCTCACAGCCACAGCCTTCACCCCGTCAACCTAGGCAGCAGCAGCAGCAGCTGCCACCACCGCCTTCTCTTCCACCTCCACCACCTTTGACTGCCCCTTCCTCAGCAAGAGAACGGCTTCCTTTGCCTCCCCCACCTCCTCTACTGGAGAAACTTGATACACCAATTGTCACTTTGGACGATCTCTTTCGAAAAACCAAGTCAACTCCTCGAATCTATTACTTACCTTTGTCGGAAGAACAAGTGGCTGAAAAACTTGCAGCACAGGGCAAAAATGCCAAGTAGCAGGAGCATCGCCACAGTCCATCCATGGCTGCTGTTCAGATTTTCTTTTCAGTCAGTCAGTATGTTAGATGTAGGGAAGTGTCTTGTAATTGCATGTTTAATGGATTTTTGTTATTATGAAATCTTGTTGATGGTTGAGAGGGCCTGAGACCTAGTGTTTTTCTATATTAGTATTAGAACCCTTATAGACTCAGCCTTATTTATTTGCTTGTGGATCCATTTGTATCTTCGTTTTCTATTGGAGTAGAGTTCCAATTTCACTTTACTTTAAACTGATGGAGCCTAAATTATATTGATGAATCTGGATTTTGAATTTTGGAAAATGGGTTTAGGGATGTTGCTTCCTAGGGTAATTAGGGTTGCAGGATAAACTCTTTGGAATGAGAGCTGAGCACAACATACAAACTTTAGAAAAAAAATCAGAAACTCATCCATCATTTAGACCACCTGTGATATGGACCATTTATATTAGATTTAATTTTAAGTTTTAATTTTAATGTAGGTGCATAGGCCCATAGCCTGCTCATTAATGGTTGCGTCGATGAGTGTAATTAGGAAAAATCAGAAACTCATCCATCATTTAGACCACCTGTGATATAGACCATTTATATTAGATTTAATTTTAAGTTTTAATTTTAATGTAGGTGCATAGGCCCATAGCCTGCTCATTAATGGTTGCGTCGATGAGTGTAATTAGGTTTTTTTTTTTTTTTTTTTCCGGAAGCTGCTGTGTAATCAGGTTAAATTTTTTATTTTTATAATTATTTTTAGTTAGAGTGAATTAACAAAAAATGCCTTTAAATTTAACGGAAGCTTTAACAGAGTTAGACATAGATGGGGGATTGCAACACTCTACAAAGTTCTAGTGGTTAAAAATAAAAATTACAAGTTTATGTGGTATTAGCGCACAAATCTAAAAGTTCAGGTGGCATTTATGTAAATTTCCCAATCCTTAATGGAGCATTCCGTATTCGTATATGATTAATGAGAAAAAACATGGACCATATATGAAAGAGAAATAACTATTTATTTAGCTTATTAGACGTTTTAGGTCAATTGGCTAGAGCAATGAATCCACCTCCTTGTACCGAAGTTCAAGTCCTCTCCTCATAGATTAGAGAGTAGTTTAGACTTTTTAAAAAATAAAAATAAAAAATATGATTTTAGTTTATGAGGGTGTTTAGACTAAATGATGTGCTAAATGTTTGTTTTGGATCCAATGAGAGCCAAATTCTTAATTATAAAAGAGAGTGCAAGTGGACGAAAGATGAGTTGGAAAATCATCTCAATAAAAAAAAAACTATATTGTATTGTGAAAACAATTGTATAAAAAGAAACAAAATAAAATTGGGGTAAATCTGCAGATCCGTTTTAGTTCGCGCTGGGTTTTAGACTCAGAAAAAAAAAAAAAAAACATTGAGTTACTCCCTCAAAACTGTTTGAGCCAATGGCCCCCCAAAACTGAAAAAACCTCTTTTTTTTTATCTGCAACTCTCTCTCGATGTTAGAAGCGTTTCTCTTTGCCACTTCCCTGCAACAGAGAATAGAAAACCGTTTCTAGGGTTTGGCAGATTCAACAATTCTTCTCTTTCATCAATCGCACTTGAATCTCACATACAGACTCTCTCTCTCCAAGCAATCATCATATTCTTTAATTTGCTCAACGTCGTCGTATTGCTGGTCCAAGTACTTTCTGAAGTCTAATTCTCCATTTCTTTACATTTGCTCCAATCTTGTTGCTGCCTTCCGCTAATTGGAGCTGCTTCGTTCTTTATTTTGCGGTTCAAGTTCAAAAGTTTACGAGGTTTTATTTGAAGTCCTGCAAAGGGTTTTTGCTTTTTTGAATTTTGAAGTTTCTTTTTTGTTTTTCTTGTTTTAGCCCTGGTAAAGAACAGTGCTTTAGGGTATCTTGTTGTATATATTTTTCTGGTGGGGTGGGTGGTGAGAAGGCATTCTTGAGGGAGGATATGAATAGTGTATTCAGTGAGCAGATACTTGCAGACAAGCTCTCGAAGCTCAACAGCACCCAGCAATGCATTGAAAGTATCCTTTTCTGTCAATAAATTGGAAAGTTCTTTATACCTTTTAATCTTTGGTTACATTCTTGGGTGCTTGTGTAATTGGGACTAGGTAGCGGGTATGGGCCCAGATGGTAGCTACATCTCTGCTGTAAGGAAAATGGATTTATAAGGTTGTATCTAAATTTCTCTGAATGACACTTGATTTTTGCTCTAATCGATGAACAGTGGTCACATGTTGTGGAATTGGTAATTTGGCTTTCATGGTCTGGTTTTCTGTTTGGATTATGCTTTACTTGATGGGGATAAAATTCGAATTATCTCTCTTTTGACGTAGTTTGCTAAAACGGGACATGGAAAGGTTAGCTGATTTTAAACTTTGAGTTGCTCCTATAGAAACCAATAAAGGTAAATTCCAAACTTTAATTGCTTGTGTGCTGTCGATTGGTTGAAGGAGATGGCTTGATTTGACTGTTTTTACCATTTTGCTTCCTTTGTCAAGTTCAGCATTTTCAATGTTGTAAAGAGTACCCTTTTCTTTCTTAACGAAAGTTCGTTAGCTAATATGGTACTTATGAATTCATGATTAAATTTTGCTTTAAAAAATAGGGGAAAACAATAGAATTTAACTTTCCATAATTGTGGAAGAAGTCTATTGAATGGTTGATGAACCCTAACTGGGAACTAAGTGATGGTTTGCTCCTTGGAGGAGTAGGTGCATATACCATTCATTTAATTCTATGAGTACCATCAATCTGCATATCAAGCTGGTTTGGAATGTTTTCAAATGTTGGCTAGATGACAGTGCATGCACAAGATATGTATGATTGAAGCCCAATTTGAATAACCTTTTGGCCTATTGCTCATTTATTTATTTATTGGTTTCAATTTTTAAACATTTTTTTTATAAAAAATTTCATTGAAGGTTGAGTGTAAAGTTAAAAAAAGGTGCAGGAGTCTACTACTTGTTAACTTGAATGCATTCTGAAGCATTATTGTTTAATGTATATGGTAAAACCCTGTTTCCTTGACTTTATAATAAGCTTTGTCACATTGGTGTATATTTCACCGAAGCAAAGCAGAACTGGTTGTTGCAACATGGGATAAACAATTCCATAATGCACAGATGGCTCAGAAAGTTCCGCTCTTGTATCTTGCAAATGACATCCTACAGAACAGTAAGCGTAAAGGAAATGAGTTTGTTTCTGAGTTTTGGAAGGTTCTTCCAGCTGCGCTCAAAGTTGTTATTGAGGAAGGCGATGATCATGGAAAGACTGTTGTCTCTAGATTAGTAAGTTCCTCCATTTATTTTGTTTCAGTTAGCAAATCCAGCAACTGATAGCATGAACCTATAGCCACTAATTGAAAATGCGGTGTTATACTAATGACAAATTTAGAGTTAGGTATTGCTGTCACAATTTTTTAATTTCAATCTTGAATATTTTTCAAGGAAATTGTTATTAGCACTCCAAAATAGTCATCCTGCACAGCTCCCTCCCTTATTTTTTTCATTAGTGAGGAGTGCCAATAACATCTTCCTTTTTTTAACCATAAGTAGGCGGACAAGTAATAGGTTTTGGGTATTTAACATATATCTGTTTGAACTTTTAACATAAATATTCTTCTCTCCCTCTTTACCTGGTCCAAAGAATGCTAGCTGACTCTACTTATATTTTAATCATGTGCTTCAGTCTAACTGTAAGAATTTTTGATCGACTGGTTTATTAATTCCTTCTACAATGTACAAAATGGCTCAACTTGGTTTGCCATCTCTTACAAATTTTTTAGGTTGGAATATGGGAAGAGAGGCGAGTATTTGGGTCTCGTGCCCGGAGCCTCAAAGAACTAATGCTTGGGGAAGAAGTGCCTCCACCCTTGGAATTCAACGGCAAGAAGCGCTCACGTTCAGTCAGAATTGTAAAAAGAGATTCACGCTCTATCAGAACGGTGAGCATAAGAGCCTCTGTTATAGTTCCTTTCCCATTTTGCTTCATTTTATTTCTATGTGACTACCATCGCTGCAGAACTAAGTCTTTTGTTCAACTTAATACATGTTCTGCTCCTGTATTTCTACTTATTTGAGTGATTGCTAACTTCATAATATTTGGAAACCAGAAACTTTCCATTGGTGGTCCAGCTGAGAAGATCGTATCTGCATTTCACTCAGTGATCAGTGAACATCCCACTGAAGATGCTGAGATGAGTAAATGCAAATCTGCAGTTCATCGTGTAAGGAAGTTGGAGAAAGATGTTGACATAGCCTGTACTAATGGTAAAGTATCTTTGGTTATGACTAGAAATCATTTTTGCTCTTTCAGAATTACGTCCTTTTGCATAAGGGCATTTAAGTCTTGCCTGATTTCCAAAATTGTGGCCTCTTAACCTAATTTTCTTTTATCTTCAGCAAAGGATCCAAAGCGGAAAACTTTATCAAAAGAACTAGAGGAGGAAGAAATTTTTTTGAAGCAATGTATTGAAAAACTTAAATTAGTTGAAGCAAGTAGAGTAGCGCTTGTATCTCAATTAAAAGAAGCTCTGCATGAACAGGTATTGAATCAAGCCATTTATAAAAAAAAATTGTTCATCAGGTTTCTAGTTTGAAATCACGCAAATAAAGAAGCATGTTGTGCTTCCTTCAGCAAGAAGCTTTTCATGTTGTACGCATCTGCTAACTTTCTGGAAACTTTGTCAGGAATCTGAACTGGAGAATGTTCGGACTCATATGCAGGTATGTCTCTAATGATTGAATCTTTCAATAAATTCTTCTTGTTGTTTGTTTGTTTGTATTTGCTTTTTTCCTGCTTTTGTTTAAAGTTATAAATTTTTTCCTTTGATCATCATGCCATAGTGTTTACTGGAAGATTGTTGGATAGTTATGTGGCACATTGTATTTTCATGATTTAGAATGCTATATTGCCTCTTCTTTGGTAAATTGTAAGGTAACATCCACTTGGCCACCGGAAACTGTTACAAGAAGGGGTGCCAAAATTTTGTCATTTAACATCCAAACCAAACGAGTTACTCTCCTCTTCCACAGACAGGTGCAAGTTTCTGGGAAGACCAAAATGAAAACAGGATACAACCTTCTCATCATTATCCTTTTGGATTAAGTGTCTTACTTGGGCAAGAGACACCCCGAATGATATAGTGTCAGTGTAGAAGGGGAGTGGCTATTGATCTTTGGTTTTCTCTGTTATTTTTCCCCTCATGGTGTAATTTCCTTCCGTTTTTGTTAGTTACTAAAGTTGAACCCAGATCTGGGTTGTCCCCTAACCAAAGGTCGCTGGGAGCTAGCTTACATCTTTAGGACTTAAGAAGATGAAGTTAGTTATTTAAACCTAACATCAAGGGATTTTGTGAAATTTTGTAATTACAAATGTTGGTTTGCTTGACGACTGATAAACTAGAGAACAGAGTAGAGAAGGAATGCAATTTCTGCCTTAACTGAACTTAAAAAACTTCACATTTTTGCTGCAAAGGACCCACTAGTGTAGTGGTTTGGAGCATTTGCTCTCCCAAGAAAGGTCCTGGGTTCGAGTCCTAGCATCCGTGTGGTGTGTGTGAGTTTAGTATGTTATCGTCCCTCTCAATAGGAAGGTCTTCAAAAAACGTTTTTTGAATTTTCTTGGAATATAAATTCAGGTGTGAATTGGGTTGAACAATCACTAGTCAGACAGAAACTCCACATTGTGTCCTGTCCATATATTTAGGGTAGTGTGGGTAACGCATAAGTGGGCATGCACTAACCTGCTTTGACATACCAAATTGCTACCCATGGTCAGAGCTGTTGCAACGCTTCTTAATTTTCATGTTGGTTTGATTATTAGTGAACTGTTAGTTGATGAGTCAATGTAATTTTTTTCAAAATACATGCAAGTTGGTGCTAAAAATTGAGGGCAGATGTGGTAGCTGTTAAAACTGTTGCTGTGCTTGAGAAATGGCTTTAATTTCCATTACAGCAGAAGTTGCTGAATTGGGGAAATTTTCAAAGCATGTATAAGTGAAAGCTAAAAAAATAAAAAAGTTGTCTTAACAAACCTTGAGATTTGGTTCTGGGCCTCTTACGAGACTTTTGCTGTGGAGTGCTAATGCTATTGGTTAGTACAAGTTCAGGACATTTGTTCTTTTGTCAATACCATTCATTATAATGGAAGTCCAGTATTCTTATAAACATATAATGGGCTTTCCATTACAGTGGCTTGCCTTCAATATTAGACGACTTAGTGTTATATACTGTAAGTAGATCAACTATGGAGGAGAATTTTGGCATTGGGACTTTTGTGTGTCATGATGACCAGCTCTCCTGTTACTGTTGTTACGGTTCTGAGAAAGACTTTGTTGTTGCATGACCCTACACTAGGTCGGAGCATGTTTAGTTGGTCATGGACAAACATGTATGCTGTCTGGTCCAATTGTATCATCTCAAATTTTCAGTAAACTTTGTGCTAATAGATGCATTCAATTCCCACTCTTAATATCATACTTGCAAGTATTGCATTGATCTCAAGCTAGTTTTTAATTCTTTCAGTGTGATTATGAGATCAGGCAAAATAAATTATCTAGTACATCAAATCAAAGCATTTGACATGATGATATAAAATTGTTGTGATAAGTTCCAAGTCTACTATCTTTTGTCCCCCTAATTTATTGGACCTTGATAATTTAATATGTGTGTCTTGTTGTGTTGTGTCAAGTAAAGAATACGAGTCTTGCTCTTGAAGTCATTAGTTCTCTATTTGTCTGCAGTTGTTACAGATATAAGGATCACTATTATTTAGCTTCATTATAGTAACATTTGACCAATGGATCATCTGACTGCTAAGCTGATATATTTTGACAAGTGCAGGTAGCACAGGCACAGGCAGAAGAAGCCACAAACATGCGAAATCGACTCAATGATGAAGATTATGTATTTAAACCATCAAGTGCGACTAGTCCACCGACTGATGGAAATTCTAAAGGGGGACAAACACCTAGGAAATCAGCTGCCGCCATTGCTGCTTTGGTTGCAGACAAGCTTGCTGCTTCTAGTTCTTCTCAATTGATTATGACCTAAAGGGGGACAAACACCTAGGAAATCAGCTGCCGCCATTGCAGCTTTGGTTGCAGACAAGCTTGCTGCTTCTAGTTCTTCTCAATTGATTATGACTTCTGTTCTTTCTACTTTCGCTGCTGAAGAAGCGAAGAATGCTGGTCTGACAAAGCCATCCACGTCTTCAAATTCATTCACATCCATGCCCAAGAGTTCGGGGACTGATTCAATGTCCAAACCTGAAATGTCCATGCCAGTTTCAGATGCCAATGTTTTTATGTCAGCACAGCCGCCTGCTGTGCCGCCAAACCATTCATACCAATCAGCATTGGTTCCCCAACCTCCGAATCAAGCCCCCACCTCTCAAGGTCAATTTCACATGCTTCCAAACCCACCCTCCCAACAATATTTACAGCCAGCAGGAGGGGTCATGAGCTCATATGGTTATGGGAGCATTCCACCTTTGCCTCTAGGACCACCACCTCCCCCACCTCATATGGTGAGTCCAATGGTGCCTTTGACTCAACAGCCATTGCAAATGAATCAACAGGCCGTACAAATTACCCAGCAGCAACCAATACCCTTAACTCAGCAACCTCCAGCTCCTAGTTTCCGGCCACTTCAGCCACCCGGAATGGTGTATTATGGTCATCCTCATAATTCTCAGTGAATTTGAATTATTTAGGTAGACAGTATAACCAATGTGAAATTTGAATTACTTAGGTAGGAAGCATAACCAATGTGAAATTTTGAGGAAAAAGCATTTTGTGCCGAGATCAAAATTTTTGTTTATTCATTTGGGCCTTTCTTTTCGTTTCTTCTGAGATCAGCAATTTGGCTCTTATTTTTGGGGTCAACATTTTCTCTTTTGGGAGTTTCACTAAAACACCCAAAATGGAGGTTGAAATTATAAAAAAATCCAACACCCAAAACATTTTATAAACACACCCAAAAAGTTGACTTTGGGGTTGATTTTGGGTGTGTTTCTATGTTTAAATAGTGCTTGGGTTTTTTTATAAATACATATATAGAATTGGGTTTATTTATAAATTTGTATTATTATTATAGCCAAACGTCGTAGTTGAAGGTTACTCCAAGCTTGTATTAGAAATGATCAAGAAGCACACCCGGCCCAGGCCCAGGTTCCTACCCATTGTAGCAAAGCAACTTAATCAGGTTCTTATGTTGCATATCTACAACCCACTGCATATCTCGAAATTGTTTGTAGTTGAAAGTTGAAGGACCTTAAATCTTATCTGTACCGGTAGAAGAAAAAGAGATTCTGAACAGATTTGAAGAATTTGATCAAATATAGCTCATTTGCATACCATCCTATTTAAATCTCCATGATTATCTTTCCACAAACACAACTTAAACTAGGCAGTGAAATAATCAAATGCAATCATGAACCGATTTGCTAGCATTGGCCAAGTTCTTTTGCGAAATATAACATTATTCATATGCAGTATTGAGGTCAAAGAAGATACATAAATCACACATGAAATATTTTTCACTTGTAACCTGTTACATTATTAACGAACATAGTGCTTTCTTCATGTATAAGGCGATCTTGATACATGTATTTTGAGCACAGAGACAAAACTATTAGGAAACAAAACCATAAAGAATGCAGAAGCTCAACATTTCATTGCTTTCTTCATGACAAAATCCCTTATGAACAGTGGCAGATGATACAAGATTGCGAAAATGGTAGAATGGCGGCCATAGGAGAACCAAGCTAGTGGATTCTCCTTCAGAATGGCAGCCACAGTCCTCTTTGCAAACTCTTCGGCAGAGGTTGAATGGGTTCCTTGTGACATAGTTGCTCTAGCGCGGATTGCTGCTTCAAAAGGTTTATATAATTTCCATTCAGGCATCTGGTTGTAGCCGGCTAAAGCAGAATTTCCAAGATTTGACCTAATAGCTCCAGGTACAACAGTGATTACATTGATCCCAAAGTGCCTGAGTTCCAATCTAATAAACATGGATATTTTGCGGATAATTAGTAATCATAGAAAGGGAAAAGAAAACAATCAAAGATGACAAAGCCGTACAGAATTAGTAAATTTAAGTGGCATGTCATCCAGCAAGAATTTTAAGAAAAGTATATCTGACATTCCCACAACCAGATGTTAGATGGGGCAGAGATCATTCCTTTGCAAAAACAAAACATTAATTACAATCTATGTTGTTCCTAGTCTTAAACTTGTACACCCATCATTTTGATTGAATTGCATGCTGAAATCGATACAACAAAATTTTAGACAAAATAATCATTTAAGAAATCATGTTCTTTCTTGGCCTTCCATTTAAAACAAATGGCTAGGAATTTAGGAAATTTCCTTTTGTCACGTATCTTCTAACATTTTCAAAAAGAATTTTGTTGATGCTGCTTATTCCTTTCATAAGAAGAGTTCAAGCATGCTAGACACTTCCTGACATTGAAATAACTCAGAAGAGTTTTATCCAAGCACCAAGATTTCAATTTTTATGAGATGAAAGGGGGAACACTAGTAGATACGAACCAGAGTATTCTTTTGATGTAATTAGATATGAACCAAAGTTTAAACTGAGCATAAAACAGGTATGTAATATGAACCACAAGCGATATGGGGATGCACAAACCTTAAAGAATCAGAAAGTGCCTGAAGAGCAGCTTTGGATGCTGTGTAAGCACCAGCCCATGGTCCAGGGGCCAAAACAGTAACACTTCCAAGATTTACAATCTTTCCCTTTTTCCTTGATGCCATGTGAGGGACAACAGCTTGTATCAACCTCATGGAACCTTAAACCATGGTCACAAAAAAGTACATATGCAATCAATCATCTTGAGAACAAACAAAGGAAAATGCTAAGGAAGACAAATCCAAAGGAAAATGCTAAGGAAGACAAATGAAAAATGTGCTGGCATCACTGCATGAGACGATCGAATATAAATGAAATTTATAAAATCATTCTGAAAGCCTACGTAGAAGATACTGCTCAAGTGCTTCATTGCATTAGAAGACCAGTTAAGCTCCAGTGCCACATTTAGTAAGGAAACAAAGGTTGACAAACTAATGACAAAATTCCTGTTTTATACAGAACCTCTGCAAAGCTTTAATAAGTTCATTAATCCAATACTATTCGATCGAAAAAATTCTGAGGATGCGGTCAATCAGTAATTGCCTCTAGGGTGTATTGTGGTGCCTTCAAATTTTTGCTGAGTTTCTGTGGTTTTCAGTAGAGAGTGTGAGAGAGACATAGGGTTTGTTTATTTTTGCCAAGTTTCTCAAATTGGGCATATGCTCAAATTAGAATGAGAAAAATGAAAACTGATATCTTATAGGTAAAGGCTCACATGCGTAAGAGAATGATATGCAGCAAATTTTAGACCAAACAAGCCACTGGGTAACAGACCTGCCTAGCAGTTAACAAAGGAAAGTTTTCGTCCCACACAAGTGGATTTGTTTGGATTTGTCAATTCCCCCTTTACCCTCAACAGCAATTTGAGCTAAAACCCATGTAGCTATACATAGAAAAGCAGGCAACAAACCAACAAACAGCACAAACAGTATGACAAGCAAAAAGAAATCACCATTAGCAAGTAGACTAATGTTAACGACAAAACTGGAAACAATGGAACCAAAAGAGAATATACTGAAAGAGAGTAAAGAGTGTCCTTTCAATACCACAAACATTGGTATTAAAAGTGTTTTGCAGAGCAGAGAGAGGGACTTCTGCAAGTGGACCAACACATTGAATCCCAGCATTGTTGACAAGCACATCAATTCGGCCGTACTTCTCCAAAACACTAGACACAACATGATCCACACTCTCATCTGAAACCACATCCAGCTCTTGTAAAAAGAACCTTGGGTCCTCCTGAAGGTCAGCCATGGAGCTCAGTGACCTGCTCGTAGCCACCACCAGACAGTCCTCTACAGCAAATGCACGTGCCAGGGCATGGCCTATGCCTCCTTGGGAGCACCCACTGATCAGAACCACTTGCTGCCCGCAGAATTCCATCTGGGCTTTTCTGGGATCGATCTTGTTTTGAAGGTGTTTGACGAAAATGGAGCTCAAAGTGGAAATGGGTCTTTCGTTAATTACGAAAAGATTGGTATAATAAGCACGCATTTAATACACGTGTAGGTACCAAATTGGATTAAATCCAAGAGAAATCTCTCCAAATCCACATTTAGCGAACCAGTTGGATTATTTATTTTTTTGTTAAGTTTAATCAAATCACGTGGTTTGGCCTAAAACAAATTAAAACCTTGGGGAAATGGGTCTTTCGTTAATTACGAAAAGATTGGTATAATAATTACGCATTTAATACACGTGTAGGTACCAAATTGGATTAAATCCAAGAGAAATCTCTCCAAATCCACACTTAGCGAACCAGTTGGATTATTTATTTTTTTGTTAAGTTTAATCAAATCACGTGGTTTGGCCTAAAACAAATTAAAACCTTGGAACCATGCCTCATAAAGAAATTAATACCCCTGAACCATATCTTAGACCAGAATTAATACCTTTAAACCATATTTGGGTTTTAAAGGAAATTTTCCCCTATATATATTTTTTTGTAAGGGAAACTTTCGCGGTAAATGTAAAGCGAAAAAGCACATGTTAACTATATTAGAATTAACAATTGCGTACTAGCACATATGAGTTTGGTCAGTTGACTACAATACTATAATCGTCAACTAGCATAATGTATTATTGTTTTAACTAAAAGTTTACTAAAGAAACAAAGAAATAAAAGACGAGAAGGAAAGCGTATTTAGGAATTGTTTGCTGGAAAATTTAGAAGGAAAATGAAAAACTCGAGGAGATTGCAGAATGCACTTTGAGTTTTTCTTCTCAATTTTTATTTTGCCTACGCTAAAGGAAAGAATTATGATGAAGAATCTTGCTTTTCAGAAAAATAGGTGTAGTGTAGTTGTTGTTAGTTAAAGAGTATTGTGGAAATTTGATGAATTGACCTTACTCTATCTTCATCTGTTTTTTTTTTTGAGAATTTACTTGATTTGGATTCATGACTATAACGTTAACTTTTCTCGAAATTAATTATATGTCTTTGTAGTCTCCGAACTTCACTTTCGTTAGCAGTATTAGTCATGTGTTAACTTTTTTTTTAATCAAATTTAGGTGCAAAATAACTCTGCGTTCTTTCTAATCCATTAAAAGTTGAGGTTTTCAGTCAACAATCAGCATGACCATGACCATGGCGTATTTGTGATGGGAGAGAATTTCCGGTCAAATTTGAGCTGTCAGTCAAATCTAACGACTCTTTGCCTACATGGCCCAACTGAGCCATGCTCTTGAGCTTTGAATTTCACTTATTTAATTTCCAGCATTATGCAGTTAAAGTTAATCTACCTTTGGTTCCAGATAAATGGGGTTGGGATTGGTATATATTTGTTAATTTAAAGTGGTCAGGGACTTACATCTGATTGATTATTTGATATATACTTTCCTTCTTTTGTTTTTTTTTCCCCTCATTAAAACATTAAAATCAATTAAATTGTTAACAACAAAAAAAGCCATCAAATTAGAAGAACTAAACATTTCCTTGAACTTAGACTCGATTTGCATTTTGGTCATCGAATTCGCAAAATGACTACTCCATCAACTCTATTTTTGTTAGCAATGTTGATCCTGTCATCAAATTTGTTAGATTTAAAAGTAAAATTTTCACTTCAAATCCAGCTTACCCACTACCACTTTGTACCCAAATCCACTATTTCCAACACCATGAGGACAAAGAACAAATAATAAAGAACAAAACCCATTTGCCTTATGTTAAGTTTTTTTTATTTACACCAATCAAACATCGAAGTTCAGCCACTAGTTTTCTTTTTTCTTTTCAAAATCTTAAAATCCAACTCTACCTTTCACAATAATTTTTTGCGAGTTTCACTAAAACACCCAAAATGGGGGTTGAAATTATAAAAAAACCCAAGCACTATTTAAACATATAAACACATCCAAAACTCATTATTACACACACTCAAAACCCATTTATAAACACACCCAAAAAGTTGACTTTGGGGTTGATTTTGGGTGCGTTTCTATGTTTAAATAGCTTGAGTTTTTTTATAAATACATGTCTAGTATTGGGTTTATTTATAAATTTGTATAATTTTTTCTCATCAGACCACCGTCCACCACCAACGACCATTCCCTCTCACCTCACCTGCCCTCTCCCACACCACGACATATTCCCTACCTAGGCCCAACAAGTATTTCCTCTCAACCAATCCCCCACCACATATGTCCTCCAACTCAATCTCCTCAATCTTGACCAGATCAACTGAAAAAAAGAAAAAAAAAAGAAAAAAACAAGTGGAGGGTGAATGTAAAAATATGCTTATGCCCATTAGAAAGAATGTTAACAACTGCTTTGTCCCTAAATTGGACAGAAAAAGTAACAAAGGACAAATATCAGTAACAAAAGTGAAGTTAAGGGACTACATTAGGCATTTTGTGAATTCAAGAATCAAAATGCAAATTAGGTTTAAGTTTAAGGACCAAAATGCAAATCCATTAAGTTTAAGTTTAAGGACCAAAATGCAAATCCACACTTGAAACTTGATGGGACATGATCAATTATTAACAACTAGCCCCTTGGCAATTGGTTTTCTTTTTTATTTTTATTTTATTTTTAGAATTAAAAAAGATAAGGGAGTTTCACTAAAACACCCAAAATGGGGGTTGAAATTATAAAAAAATCCAAGCACTATTTAAACATATAAACACACCCAAAACCCATCATTACACACACTCAAAACCCATTTATAAACACACCCAAAAAGTTGACTTTGGGGTTAATTTTGGGTGTGTTTCTATGTTTAAATAGTGCTTGGGTTTTTTTTATAAATACATGTCTAAGATTGGGTTTATTTATAAATTTGTAAAAAGATAATGGGTAGTTGTGTTCCATAAAAATAGGATTCATTTTCTGATTTTTCTTTTTCTTTTAATTTTTTTTAATATGAAAAAGTGTGACTTTACCATATTATCCTCATTTAATTAATAATGTCAATTCTTAATGTTTGCATTAATCAATGGCATTTTTTGGTATTTTGAATGTTTCACCATTTTTTGCCTTTTGTTTTATATATATAGATTATAGTTTTAATTACAAGTTACAATATAACATGCAAGACTCCTTGATTTGAGAATTTTTTTTAAAATCTAATCTAATCAAAATTTCAATTCTTAATGTTTGCATTAACCAAGGACAAAACCTCTCAACTTTCAAATTAAAGACATACAAATGTAAAGGATTCCTTAGAAAATTCAAAAATAAATAAGGGCAATTTTGTCCATTTTGGCTTCTTTTAAAAATTCTCTCTCCTTTAGCCACAAAAAAAAAAATTCGTCAAAGCTTTTTCAAAAAAGACAGAAAAACCTCTTAACTTTCAAATCAAAGACATGCAAATATAAAAGATTCATTAGGAAATCCAAAAATAAATAAGGGCAATCTTGATCATTTTGGCTTCTTTTAAAAATTTTCTCTCTCCTTTGGTCTTTTCCAAAGTCTCCCAAAAGTTTTAATGAAATTTCAAGTAGGGGAAAAAATGGAGACTTTGGAAAAAGCAAAAGAAGAGAGAATTTTTTTAAAAGAAGCCAAAATGGATAAAATTGCCCTAATTTATTTTTGGATTTCCTAAGGAATCCTTTACATTTGCATGTCTTTAATTTGAAAGTTGAGAGGTTTTCCTGTCTTTTTTGAAAAAGCTTTGGCTTTTTCCAAAAGTGAAATTTTTTTTTATGGCTAAAACCTAAATTTACTGGAAAAAAATTGCACACATGTCAAATGAAAAAAGTAGGCAAAAGGTTGGCGGTGTTGGGAACCAACGTATCTGATATGAGCATATTTATAGAGAGAAGTATCGCAACCGACGTGCTCGCTTGCACATACACATGTTTAGAGCATCCACAATAATGCTCTCTATTTCTTAGTTAAAATTTAGCTAAAAATATAAAAAGCTATTTTATGAGCTCTCTAAAAAATTTGAACTCCAACCATACTCCATAATTTGGAGAGTCATAAATGCTATAACTCTTTTTTGATTGGTCCATCTTTATTAAAAAAATAAAATAAAAAATAGTTAGCATTAAATAAAGGTTTGAAATACTCATTAAATAAAACAACATTAAATTATAGGGAGCCATTAGGAGTCTTTTCTCTCTCCTCAGATTTTGGAGCTCCTAGAGGACTCCCTATTTTAAGAGATGGATAGGGAGCATGGTTGGAGTTGCATTTTTACAATTCCTCCTTAAAATTTGTCTAAGGAGGTGGTTTAGGGAGCTTATTGTGAATGCTCTTACATACCTATTGTGGGGGTTTTTTTATTCCAGCAGCCTGACGAATGGGCTTGGCCTGCTGAAAAGAGAAACAGGTGAAATTACCCCTTGAGTCTGAGTTCAGAAATCAAGCCCCAAGGATGCTTCGAAAGGACAGTAGGGCCTTAGGAAACACCTTGGTTACTTCACCGACAAAAATAATGGCTGCTTACAGATAGATTCTTAGTACTTACAGATGAATTGTTAGCTTGACATGAGAAGCTTGTGGCATGAGAGCAACCATTATGAGTTTAGCATAAACAGAGAGAGAGCTGTGAGTTTTTATGAAAAACAAGGGTCCTAAAGAAATGAGGAAGGGATTTTAAGAGGGTTTGTTGAAGTGGGAGAGAGATGAGAGAAATAATGGGTGTGTTGAGTAGTTTCCGGCAGCTTAACGTAAACTCTATCAAGTAACAGAATAGTCTGCTAGGAGGGAAAAATAGGGGGAGAAGGATGAACATAGCACGAAATTGTTGGGTTTTGGAAGCAAGAGAGGAAGCTTGCTGTCTGGATGTGGATCGAGTGAATTTCCAGTTGCTTGACGAAGTTTGGTCGCACTCTGAATGATGATTTTTGTTGGGTAGAGGAAGCTCCATTTTATAGGCATTTAGAAGCTCATTCTTCCCAAGAAACCCTAATGGTTTCTATCCAATTTGGCCAAGTATTTCCTCTCATTTCTCTTCTCTTCCTTTGACTTATCCTATTTGGTGAAATTCTCTCTGCTTAATCGCAC